TTTTTAGTAACTTCTCAGATCACAGTTTTACTTGAAACCCTTGCTTCTAACAAGTAAACAAAAGCAGAAGTGTTGCATTTTTGGTTCAAAATTTATTTTAAAAGGTAGTGTTAAATTATTAATAAAAACTTGAGTTCTTCAAAGTCAGCCTGTGGCACATTGTCCTCTGAAAATAAGTCCTTACAGACACTATGACTTAGGATGGCTGTATCTTTGTGCAGTGACAAAAGAAGGCCCTTCTTGTAGAGGTGTTGATATTAACAGCTTCCCAGTGGTGAAGAATGATACACACTGATTGTTTACTGACTAGTAAATCCAGATAATCATTAATAACAGTTTAACTAAAATGTGTAATTCTCTTTGGGTTGCTACTGTTCTCTTTGCACCCAACTGACTGGATGATCAGTGATGAATGGAGCATGTGGCTATGTGCATCTTCATTATTAATGGAAGATGCTAGCCAGAAAAGATTTGTGTTAGCATTCAGATTGCACTGTGGGACAATGTTGTATATCCTGATAGAGATTTTGAGGTTCCTTTTTTTTTTTAATTCTTGTTTTATTTTTTTCTGAACTGCATGGCAGATTTCATGTGCCATTTATTTAAGAACAAAACAGGCAGTGACTTTTGTATTTGAAAGTGTCTTTTGATGTGTTTGCATTTTGGTCTATGTTTTCACCTCCCCCCTCACCACCCTCCCCAAAGAAAAATGGGTATAGAAGTAGTCATGAAAACAAAAAAATGAAGTTGTATGTGGCTATACAACTACTTGGAAATGTTTTTAATGTCTCTGGTGGCAGAATCTTGCCTTACGCTTCTGATCACATGGATGTTTTCTTTAAAATGGTGGAACAACATTTAAGTAAAATCTCACTTTGATGAACTTTCTGTCAGTCTTGTATTTCAATGTCACTTATGTACATTAGGGTAAGACTCAAAGCTTTTAGCATCAATATTTCTGTGCTCACTCTTTTACTGTCTTTCAGGAACATTTGGAAAGCCTTTATGGAGGCCTCAGCTGGACTCTCTTTCAAGCTGTAGACAGCCAGCAAATTGCCAACCAAAAACCTTCCATAATAATCATCATGTCTCACTGGACTTTGATGCAGAGGCAGATGAAGAGGGAAAGGAAAGGACAGTTTCTAGAGGAGAAAATAACTTTTATGCTTGCAAACAGTCCTTTGAAAACTTTAGGACTTCTACTTTCCAGTCCTGTGATTTGGATACGTAGCTCCTATTGGACTTAACAATTTCTGGAACCAAAGAAATAATTTGACATACTACTACCTCAGTATGGAACTTTATTTAAAAAGGGAATAAGGAGAAGAAGGGAAGGAAGAAACCACATGATGCTCTGAAATCAGAAGAAAAAAAATTTTTTTTCCAGTAAAGCATAATTTCCGAGATGTTCTACATTGGTTATACGGGAAAAATCCTTATAAAAATACTATATTTGTAATTATTTTATAGCCTTTCTTAATGCAAACAATATGTTTTGTAAATTAATGGTGGAAATATTACAGTGTATGTATTTCTATCTCAGACTTCATTTTCTTGAAATGAGCAGTAAGCATTCTAATTTTGTACTGTTACTTGTACCTTTTTTACAAATGGAAACTCCATGCTGTTTGCAGGTATCATGCATCTTATTTGCACATTACTTTAATAAAATATGCTGCCTTGTGGTCTCTGACCCACATTAGTGTATGAAGAATGAAAAGTATGAATTACATTTGTAGACAGTGTTGCAAATGTAGGTGCTTTCTGATGCATGTTTGCACCTTCATTTGACTTAAACTTGTACCTTTATATTTAATGTATAAAATATGTTCGTCTTCAAAGAGTGGGTGTAGTCCTGCTACACTACTGGTAAGGTGGGTTGCAGCTATTTGAACTAAAGCAAGGCTGTAAATCCTCCAGTTTGTGAATTCCCCCTGTCAGATGTGCACGCACATGCTCTCAGTTTTCATACCTGTGAAGCTGTAGTACCAGCAGTTTCTCTGCACTTTTGTTATTGTGCCTGCATCTGTCAGAGGGGTATACACAGTAGATGCACAAATTCATATCAAGCTATTTAGTAAAAGGAAAAAAAAAAAAAAAAAGGCACTGGGTTATCTGTCTGATAACCTAGCTTTTCTCTGAGTGGCTTAGTGTCAAGTGTTTGCCAAATGGGCAGTGCGTGCCTGAGTCTTTGCTTTCCCATACCCTTTCTCCCTCGTTTTTGCTTCTGCAACCACTCCCTGCTCAACATGACGGGGTAATCCAAGAACAAGATAATGGGTTTTTTTGTTTAATTCATGATTCTCTTCCTTACATGGCTGCCCTTCTCTGGATACAGATGAGTTCTGTGCTTTATTTAATTGTTCAGTCAAGTTGAGCAATTGTAGACTCTTGCTGGATTATATTTGTAGTAATGAACCCAGTATCTTTACCTATACAAGAGGAGGAGGATTGCTTGCTATAAAACAGTAGATAAAACTGAGTGAAAACAGTTTTTGTGTTTCCATGATGCTTGTTGTTTAAAAAAGCTGTGAATCCTGTTATCATCACTGCATTAAAACAGTGAGACTTCAAAATGGTTAATTCTACAGGACACTGGCTTTTTAAATCTGCCTGCTTTGAAGGTGCAAACTTACATGGTTGCCAAATAGCTTCTTTTAAAGTAAATTAAAAGCAGCTGTTAGAATAGGCCATCACAGGCATCATGGCTATAGCGAGAGCAAAGATTTTGTTGCCTGGTGTAGCTGAACTAAGGGCTTTTAGTTTTCTGCAGCCAGAAACCTGGTACCCAGATTGCAATGTAATTTCCCTTTAATTTAGGCACCAGTATTAGAGACAGGAAGTTAATCTGTCCTTAGTCACTGGTGGTCTAAGCATACAGAATGGATTTTGCGTGCTTTAGTTGATCATATTGCCAGATTTTTTGACTTATTGTTAATTTGTCTTCATTGCTGCCAGATGTGCTGATGTGGTGAAAGACATTGGTACGGGTATTTGATTATAATTAAGTGCATTTGAAAGAGATTAATTTTTCTTCAGTTAAGCACAAACCTGTAGGTCAATAGGGCAAGAAATCTAAAATTTGATTCACTCAATAGCTCTCATTTTTCTCCCCCAAACCCCACGCCCCAGTGGCCCTGTTTTTAGGGAGAGGAGTGCTGGAACCTGTGATAGCTCATCTTTATAACCAGACATTGCTTTCTGACATATTAAAAAATACCCAAGTTAAAAACAGTAACTCCAGATTTAGTGTTTGTCCTTTAAAACTCCATGTTAAAGGTCCGTTATGAAAAACAAGCTTTAAATTCTGTCATAGGTGAAAGTTGAGAACAGTGGCAATGCCATTCCTTTTTCATCTTTGCAAAGATACTAATCTTCCAAAGGCTTGGATGTCAGTACCTAAGTAAATGTTCAGGGTCAGTGACTGAATTTTAAATGCTTTTTATCAAGTTGCATTTAGCAATCTAGACATAGGAATTACTTAAAATTTTATTTGATGCTTTAAATGCCGAGAAATGGAAATGAAAGTTCCCAAGTCCTCTTCTGCTACCTTGAGTTTTTATGTTTTATAAGTGGATTGTGCTTAAATATACAGGTGGTATCTGTAAAGTGCGAGATATACCGTAAAGTTTCAAAATCTTTGTAGTTCTTTTTAAACCAGTGATGTAACCAAACACCTCTTTTAAAGGCTTGGAAGTTTGCTTGGCTTTTTTTTTCCCCTCCTCTCTAAGATGCAGATGTTAGTGAGCTGGTAGTTGGGTATTTACTCAGCTGAAAACTACAACGTAAGTTGATGTGATGGGGAAATAAATTGCAGCCAACCCTGAGTAAAGCTTACACTGCATCTCAAGAGTTAGAATGAGAAACAAATATTGTGTTGCTGAATGACAAAACAGACATTTTGCAGTTTTATGACCAGCAGCAGCTGGAATCTTGCCACAGGCTTGCTTAAAACTTATAGAATGTTCTTTAAGGGCAGTATCCACTTAATGCTTTACACAACAAAACGTTTTGCCTGTTGAACTCACACAAGCAGTTGCTGATGTATAGTTTCTGCAAGCCCTAAATTGTTTTAGATAATGGAGTTAATAATTTACCACAATTTCTGTGGCACAAAAATTTCCTAAATGAGTAACCTAAATGTGTGTGTGAGATGACACTAAGGATACCTGCATACTGAGCAGTGTTAAAATTTCAAACACAGCCGTATGGAGTACTGCTGGATTTCAGCAGCAAATGCTTTAATTTAGAATTCGTAACTTAAGGGGATCTTGAAAAATGGCTAAGAGTTAGATGCAGAGCTTTCTGCAACTGAGAGCTCGTTAGTGTCACCAAACATTTCTTATTTCAGTCTCGGGGATCTCTTGAACACTTAAGTGTTATTCTTTGAACCTTTTCAAAAGAAGCTTAAAACTAAGACTTACCTTTGCACTGCAAACATTTGTGTTCTGCCAGCCTTACAAACCAGGACTATAATTGAGCATTGTGTTTCTTCTTGACTATAAACATAAGGCGAAATTCTGTTAGCTACCTGCAAGATTTCTTGTTTGAGATATGACACATCTCAGAGAATTATACTTTCTCAATGAAGTCTTCTTTTTTGCTCACTTTGTGTGTTGCTTTGTCATAGAGAATGTGTCTTGACTAGTTGGATGTTAGTTTACAAATCCTGTGAAATTGTTTCATTAAAAAAATAGAGAGGGGAACCTCCACCTGTTGTGAAAGGGGGAAAAACAAATGTATAACAAGATGCAGTTTGCGTTCATACCATTTTAGTTTGATTAGGAACTTTCCAGATGCCTTCTGTTGTTATATTTCAGGGGACTGTTACAGGAAGGAATAAAAGCAACAGTGTCTTGACTCACTAATGTGTGGCAAAAGGTGCTTTTCCTGGTGGTTGTGCTTAAGTATTAAGGAGTCAGTTTTTCCCCTGAAATAAGTATGTGCACACCCAGGCTGTTACTGAAAGGTGCAGGTGGCCTCTCCTGTTTCCCGTGCTGCTCTTTTTCTCATAGCTCAGTATTGCTCCCATGTCCTTGGGGGACCCTCTCTTGTAACTATGCTCCTCAGGTTCCGGATTCTCTGCTTGCCCTGGCACTGTGGTGACAGGATGGGACAAATGGATTCAGTTTACAGAGCACAGTGCAATTGCAGGCAGTAAGAAGTGGTTGTGTGCTGGAAGAGAGGAGGGGGAAGTGTTGGAGAGAGACAGGCTAGCCACAGCTTTAGGAAGAACTTGTTATGAGTGTACAGAAAATGCATAATTCAGGACACAGGGATTAAATATTAATAGCACAATGTTATAAGCATAATAAAGAGCATTTTTGTACTTTACAAGCTTTACAATGCTTTTTGTATATTCAATTCAACTCCCCCTCTATGCTTTCAAGTGCCAGAAGCAGCAGTGTACCAAAGAGCACATCATCTGGAGATTTACCTCTTACTGCATCTAAAATCTCCTTTTCTGGTAGACAAAGAAGATCCATTTGTTTTTCTGTGTTTGGGTTCAAGACTGAATATTGCTGGTACAGTGCATAGTTTCCCAGAGTCCTGTGGTCTATGAGGTCCACTGTGTCAGAATGCGTGTGATCATTGTGACTCAAGAATGCCATGGGACAGTAGGACCTGAGGGTGAAGTTGGTAGCAGTTCTAAATTCGCTGCTTATAAAACAAATTTTGGCCTTGTTACTTCAGAAACTCTTTTCCCACACAGCAGAGAACAGAACCATAAATTACTCTAGATTAGGGGCTACTGAATAGCACTTCGGCATGATCCTGGTCCTCAGCCATCCGCAAGGGCAGTGGTGTTGCTGCTATTCTGTTTGGCTGTTAAATATACTGTGTTCTGAAATTAATGGTGGCCAGTTTTAGGGTATGTGAATTTGAAACGTGTCATTTGAAATGGAGATCTAATTTACTTGATAGAGTTAGTAAGATCATCTGAATATAAAACAAGCTCTGGGATTTTGTAGACCTCTACTTTGAAAGGCTGGTATGCAACACTGTCCAAAGACACTCTCATCTGCCATAGCAATATGGGACCTACTTATTTTCAGCACTTCCTTTGTAGATGTGCATGGACAAGCTGTGACTTATGATTTGGGTCTGCTGCTGGATTATCAAAATTCAGGTATTGATTATAAAAACAGGTGAAATAACGTCTTTTTGGACAGTGAGGCTTTGGATTCTTTTCTCAAACTTATGCAAAGCCACATCAGTTCCTATCTAGTTAAAGAAGCGACCTTTGGTACTATTCCTGGTGTTCAGCCTACTTGTTTTAGAAATCACTGATAAGATACTGTCATGGAGGAATAGACACTGATGTCCTTCAATTGCTTGCAAAATGTTTGCAAAATGCTTGTGTTCTGCTGTGACGTGGAGAATTTGGGGCTCCATTCAGCCTCTGTTCATCAGCCAATGGCGGACTACTCTCATCCTGATTTTCATAGATGTGCCTGCACAGACATATCTAGTTCTGTGTTGGGCTGGCATGCTACATGTTAGGGAAGTAGTCAGTGCTACTGTAAAGCAGAGCTACAGAGATACCGTGAAGGGAATTCAGTGGAAGAGGGCTATAGTTCCCCTCTATGGAGGGATTTTGAATGGTTCCCTTGTTCGAAGGGAGTAACTTGTGCAGGTTTTAACATTTACTCCTCAAAATTCTATAATCTTATCAAGGTGTTAAAGCTGCCACTTTATTATCCCTTGAATGGGGAAGGTGTGCATTTTCTGCAGGACAAAGATAAATGGAGTTTTTGAAACTGCTTTTCAATCTCTTTGTGATTCTAGACTCTTAGAAGTAAGCAGAAAGACTTAGTCCTTCCTTTGGCATAAGGAGATCCCTCATGATGTGCCTTACTGCATGCAGAAGAATTTTGCAGTCTATTGACTAACCAGAGAGCTCACACAAAGAAAATATTTGATTCACTGGTACCACATAATAATTTCTAACACATCTCCAAGTGAGTCTTTTGTTCTATGTTTTTTAATAGCTGTGGCTGACTAGCACAGCAATGAAGAAGCTACTGTTTGATTAAGTGGTAGAAGACATGTATAATTAAGCCAACTCATAACTGAAACTAGCCACTCTCCTGGCTTAAAATAAACTGTATTTGTACTGCTACCTGCTGTGGGTCTGTACACCAGCAGCATTAAGAAAGCATCAGTGCTACAGCAGCCAGCTGCCCGTAGCCTGGCCTCTGCCACGGAGTGGTCGGATTCTTTATTAGTGTAAAGTTCTTTCCCTTAACCTTCCCTCAGGAAAGGGGAAACACAGCCTCTATTGTAATTAGCTAACACAGCCTTCCGTGTAAGCTAAAGAATGGAAGGTGTCAGGGGTGTTTGCAGCAGCCTCATAGGTATTTTCTATTAGCAGGGAAAAGTTAATCTGCTCTCAGATTTTGGCTAGGGCACAAAAACCTATGTGTAAAATATTCTTAGAATGAATTAAATTTCACATAAATGTGACCACACAGTAGGTAAAGTAGTAAAATGGTGGTGATGATGGAAAATATGACTAATCAGAAAGCAGCATTAATGTAATGAATAAAATTACCCTTTAACATAAACTGAGGTTCTTAAGCGCCTAATTTTAAAAATGTTTATTATTCTATAGCCTATAACAACTGTGTTATTAAAACTACTAGTGCACTTTAGCAGTTTGGTCTGAAGCAGCATTTACTTCTCAAAGTATTGAGGTTTTCTTGAAAAGCAAAAAGAGAAGATTAAATCAAAAAGCAACTCTGTGACACTGAGCCACTGAACTTGTTTTACTAAGTAGTTTAAATCAGAACATGAAAAAAGTGTGAAAAAATAGACATGTTCTGATTTTTCACTTTGAAATTACTTGTCTCAAAATTATTTTCATTTTTCTTTTTGAATTCTCCCTTTTCCATTCAGAACTGGAATGTAAAGTGCAGACCCCCTTGGGTATTCAGGGCAACACAGACCAGGCACACAAGTGGAGTGTGCAGAGCCATTGTTTGTTCTTTCCCTGCTGCGCATCCCTCTTCCCAAATCCTTTTGATCTGAGTTTGACGGGTCCTTGTGGATTAATTCTCTTTCCGACTAGAGCAAGTTTCTCTCCTTGATTTTTTCTTGAAAGTGCTGACTCAACAAGTTTCTACAATCATAAAGTCAGACTTGATAGTTTTCTGTGTGACTAGCAATGTTCTGCTCCCTGTGCGCTTTGAGAGCTGTAGAAGGCTGGTCCCAGGGTAGATTCTGAGCAAGCCCCAAGTGGCCTCTCAGAATTGCTGTGTGTGCTGCTGGCAGGGAAGCCACAGTGACAGCCTTGCCCTCCACTGCTCCTACCCTGGGGATGCCTTGATCCAGCAGATCTCAAACAGCGCTTCAGATTCAGGAGCTGTGCAAGCAATGCCTGAATCATCTCTTCCGTTAAACTGAAGTGCAGATAGCAGACTGTATCAGATGGTTATCTCTCAGACAAGGCAGCTGAGGAAATATCTTTGAGTCTGTAATGTCTGGTCACTGATCAGGTGCAGAGGCTGATGAGAGGCTGGGAAAGGCATTTCTACCTCTTTCCTCCACCCAAAGCTTTCCAGCTGTTCAGAAGTGCTGGGCCTCTTTTCTCCTCACAAAACATTCTTAAATGGAAATGTAGGAATTTGCTCTTATATTTCACAGCAATTGCAAAGTAACTATTTTATAAGTTTGGTGGGATTTTTCTTTGTTTTTAATGAGGTCTTTCACAAAGGAGTTTTAAGCTTACGTGGGCTTCCTGCTCAAGCTTCATGTATTTGTCAGGAAAGAAAAAAAAAAGGTCTGCTTTTTTTAGGGCCAGGTGTTTTATATGGCTAAGTTAAGACATGCCTGAAAAGACTGTGGTTATTTTCCTGTCTGAAAAGTACTGCATTTATTTGGGTTTTTTCCCCTTCCTTTTTGTAACATTGAGCACATAACCTTTCAAACGTGCTGTTTATTTCTGTGTTTTCTGCTTGTGAATCCCCTATGACCATTAGTTTCTTTGGAACACTGGAATTGAAAGTGGACATTAGTTTCCTCCTCTCCTCAAATATTCTTACAGATGTTGCTGTAAATCAATTGCAGGGCTGACATAGCATTTGGCTGCCTGACAAATGTACCATAATCAGCTCAGTAAAATGTGGAATTTCTGAGGTAGTTCTTGTAACTTTTTCAAAGCAGTTGTAAATTCTCATCCATGTCAGCATAGGTGGAAAGATATTCACAAATAATATGTGCACGTGTGTGTGTAGAGGTTGCCTGTACTAATTCTTTCTAGAGAGTCCTCTAGGTGGTTCCATTATTTAATGCAGCTCCTTGAAGCAAATTAGAAAAATAAATACTCTCATTAAACTCAAAATGATCTTGTTAACAAAGTTTTGGAGAGAGAATGTGTGCCTGCAAATTGAAGCAAGGGGGCTGTAGTAGCTGAAGGTCGGAGCTGGGCCTGGTAAACCATGACACACTTCACAGCAGCCCCTCAGGTAATGACAAAAGAGCCATTTCAGGTACCCACCTTCAGTTTCTGCTTCTGAGAGGGCTGAGCAAAACTGCTCTTGGTCTTCAAGAGAATCCAGCAGTGAGCTTTGTGGGATCAGTTCCAAGAGGTGAGATGTTTGGATGTTTTTATTTTTTCACGGCTAATCCTACTGAATGGTCCATGCAGACAAGGAAGTCCCCATTCAGCCTTCCTGACTGTGCCAATCATTCTGCCTCCCTGGTCAGAACTTGCTTTTCATCTGAACACATGCTGAGCCTGGCCATCCTTTCCCCAAAAATGAGAGTTTTCTGTTTCCTTTGAATACATGAGTATAAGTTTACTCAGGAATTGTTATGCAATAGCTAAGGGCAAAACATTTGTAAGAATCTTAGAATTTGATGAGCTGCTTCTGTTTAACTACCTGGGAGGAAAGCTAGGCAGAAATTCTGGGAGCACTGATTTTAGTAATATTGCCTCTTGTTACAATGAATGGTAAGAAGTATATTTGCTTAAAAATTAAATAATAATCTCACTTTAGAAACTTCTTTCTTAGCTATTATTTCAGTTCATCACTACAGAAACATGATTTAGAACAGAAATCCAACTTACACTACAGAATAATATTTGTAGAGCGTGGAAACGGTGATGAACATCAATCTGCACACAAAACTAGTGTTAAAAGAATATTTATTCTCATAGCTAGAGAGTTTAAAGTCATGTGCTTTTGAAGGTAAAAATGAGCATTTGGCCTTGTCAAAGTCTTTATGAACTGTCTATCTTTAGTTGCTTGGAAACAAGCAATTTTCTAAATCCAGTAATGTAGTAGGTATAAGGTGTTCTCACTTCTTATATTTTAAATACAGTCCACTACTATGGAACTATGTTCTACTACCACAATGCAACACAATTTTCAACAGAGAAGGAGTATTAGAATTCAGAATTTGTAGAATTAATCATATAGCTTACTTGGAAGACTAGCCAGTGAGTATTCCATTTTTTCTCTGGTTTATGGTTATTAGTGTTTATACCAGCATTTCCCAAAAAAAGAACATGTTTAAACCCAGGTGCTCTCATTT